GCTTTGAGGGATCTTTCTGGCGTTTGCAGGAGGTTTCCTTTTCTAAAGTTGTTAAGTCAATGGTCTAACCTCCTACTTTTCAAATGACTCTGTAGAGTTGTGCCGCCGATATTTGTTTAGGAGATATGAGCACAAATCGAACAACAGTTGCAACGAAGTGCGGCGACGCGAACGACGCGTGCGACGTCGCAACTTTCCTTTGCTTCAATATCAAAGAGAATAACTGTAGTTTCAATACTGATGTGTGCCGTGTATAACATAGATACTTTTGAATACTATTAGAATCTGAGTTCTTGTTCCTATCTTTCAAGAAAGCACAAAAGTCCCTCTCAAGCGACAAAATTCAAACACTTCGAATACACTCAGAACTTTGGATATGGAGCTTATCTGACATGCTGATTACAAATGTGGCCCACAGGCTGCGAAATAAGGTCCCTTTGTAGGCTAACGGCTGAAAGTACACTCTTTTTCGCCGCGCGCGATTTCGCGGTCCGAAACGTGTTAAGGGCACTTGAGCAGAGCCCAGAGTTTTGAGGAGAATAACAAAATCAAAAAAATGTACAGTAGGTTTCGGTGAACAAATCGTTTATCATCAGAAGAGCTTAGAAAAACTGGCAAATGAAGTGCAAGCTATCCTTTCAAATTCCCATCAGCCCATTTTCGCCTTCTTGAACCAAAATGCTGTCTGATTGGAAATTCAGTTAGGAATTCAACTCATCATTTATCTATGCGTTCAAAAATTATCTATATTCAGAACGCCCTTCAACAGCTTTTGAATCAGGAAAGCACGCCTTATCTTCTTGCAAACTTGTAGAGAAAAATACATGGTTTCAAGTTCAAAAAAGGTCTTTTGCAGGACGGATTTACCTGCAATAATTCAGAATTGGAAAATTCAATTTGGAACTTAATCCTGGAAATTGCAGCAACATCTTGTGAAGAATTCTGAAAAGCTCTTCTCCTGCAAGTATGTATGCCCAATTCGTATCCATTTCTTGTTGCAGAAAACGAAACATTTGTCAAAATTTAGCCAAGTACAAATAGCTTAATAAATCTCTCGAGTTTTTCCATAGCATTGAAAAATTATCCACTTTGAAATCCAGATACTGGCCTTACAAGAAAAATTTAAAATTTTCCAGCGGATCGCAAATCAAATTATGATGTTGATCCTTCTGAAGCGCACATACCAAATGATCTGTAATGAGGGCGAAATGGGGGCGGAAGTTTCTCACCCAAACCATATTCTCGCACCTGAGTGATGTGCCTGCCAGGCACATCCGGGCTCGCTATAATTACGAGCTCCTCAGGAGACCAAGACATTGCAAGCCCTGCTCCCTTATCCACTGTTGCTCCAGATGCTGAAAACGGAATTCCAAAGAAACTTTTGAAAAGAAAGTCTAAAAGTGAATTTGCTCCAATCAGGACCAGTTTTCGGAATTAGGGGTTTCAATGTTGCTCTTTTCAGTAGTGAGATTTGTTTGCTGCGAAGCCAATGTTCAGAACCGCTATCCTTAAACATGATCAGAATTTGGATTCAAAGGTTTTCGAAACTTTCTTCTCCAAATTAAGACCAAAGTTCAGATTTACGGTTCTCGCAATCGCTTTTTCCATAGCGGTGTATGTCTTGTGCTCGATTTTTGAGCAGTTTTTTGGAGGCAAAAATGTTTTTCTCATAGAAACCGAATTACGAATTGAATCCAAGCGCAGGAATACGCATGTGATTCCGTGGTGTTTTCTTTCCCTGAATTCTCAAGAATATCAAGGTACAGCGCTGATAATGACCCATCCAAGTATTTCTTGAAACCTGATATATCAGAGGTGGCTGAGATCATCGAGGCATGCCGGAAAGCTTCATAGCAGACCTACAAGGATTCTTCCGCTATTTATAAGAGAAATCTGGCCTTGACTGCTTTCCGTCCTTGTTTACTTGTTCACCTACTTCTTGTCATTACTCAAGTCATGCTGATCAGCTTTCTGTTCACACTTCACATTATGTCTTTGACAAACCTCTGCACAACACGTGAATCGCAGACATGGATCTGTCACTGGAGGCAAATGCGATTTTGAATTTTGAGATAAACTCGGTCTGTTCAAAAATTTTGTTTATACAGGGTGTCCCAAAAGTATGTATACCAACCTGCCCAGTACTTTACCTTTAAATCAAGACGCATAAAATCCAATCCGCGCGCGATTTCGCATCTAGTGACCCCGCAATTTATAAGGTCAGACCAATAATCGGTTGCGTGGGTGGACCTACAGATCGGATAGGATGGTATCTGAGTAATATTCTAGAGCAGTTACTCCAATTCATTCCTTTCCATCTAGGCAATACAAAGATGTTCTTAGACCCTCTAACGAGACACGAATCAGCGCTTCTTACACCATGTAGTCATTCGACGTTAGCGCGTTATACACGAATGTATCTGATGACTCCGCGATGCAGGCCGTTTGTGAACTTCTAATAGAGCACGAGCAAGCAATGAGACTCTTCGGACTTTTTATCGCGCAGATAATGGCCTTGCTAAAACCGTGTTTAGAACGCAACATATTTCAATGGTCGGGAAAGTATTTCTCGCAAATTAGAGGATTGGCCATGGGCCAGAGATTGGCTCCAACGCTAGCGGTAATTTTTATGGCTAAAATTGAAAGACCAGTGCTGCAGTTGCGTCCCTTGCTTTACTGCAGATACATCGATGACTGTTTCATCATATGTGCTACTCAAGCGGAGGTTGATGAATGCTTTGAGTTTATGAACAGGCAATCGGAACATATAAGACTTACTCGGGAAAAGCTTACTAACGGATGGTTACCTTTCTTAAACGTACAAGTCAATATCAATGATGGCAATCAGAAAACGAAGTGGTATCGAAAGCCCAGTAACATGAACATTCTTATTCACTACCGCTCAGCGCATCCTCTACAGACTAAAAAAGCAGTGATCAAAAACATGTTTCGTACAGCTGCAAAGGTGTGTAGTGGACGAGAGGAGAAGATGGAGTCGTTGGCCGTTGCGCGTAAGATAGCTTTATCTAATATGAAAACAGGATGACGCATTGTAGGGCCCAACAAAGCAGCTTTGTAGAAAGGAGAGCATCACCCGCAGCAGAGAAGATACCTTTCTGTATACTCTTCATCTCCGATGAAGTGAGCGCCGCCATTCGGCGATGTCTGAGGAGAGCAGATTTGAACAATTCAGTTTTAGTAGTGGACATGCCTCCGAACGATTTAAAACGCATTCTTGTTCGGAATCGCATGTACGACCGTAATTGCACTACGTCAAACTGTCTAGTATGTCCCACAGCAAAGGAGGCGACTGCATGAGCGCGGGAGTTGTCTACCTCATCTCATGCAAGGATTGCGGAGCCGAGTATATCGGTGAAACAGCACGTCCCTTATGCGTACGCATCCAGGAACATCTCAATGACAAAAAAAGATCACGCTTATCCACTCCACTGGACGCCCATAGAATGCAAGAGCATGAAGGAGTGAATTCTGAAGTAAATGTAGAGATCTTGGCGCGTGAACCTCAAACAAACATCTACCCGCAAGACTTTAGAAGCCTTTTGGATTCATTTCAAACAACCCAAAATGAATCGCAAAGATGAATGCCTCTCTATCACACGCGAGCTCGCACCCTATCTAGATCAGATTTTCTGATCCGGTGAAGACATGTTTAATCATTCACTTACGTTATCAGTTAGCGCTCGTTTATACTCGAGATTTACCGGCGATCGAAAAGGTGAGTATTGCGTGTGGCAGCTTGCATGTGATCCAAAAAAAGCTTAGAATTTTGTTTGTGAGGCTGAGGAGATGCTTGATCGGATAGTTTATAGATTGTTGTAGCCCATTTCAGGCTCTGAAGAAGGCGACATAGCCGAAATGTCAGCCTAATAAATATATTTACAAATCTCGGACTGGCTCAACAATTAATAAGGGCCTATTGCGCCTCATGAAGCCATGCAAACAATCTGAAAATTTGAGCCGATAAAACCAAATATAAAGTTTGCACTTTACCGCAATGCTTCGTTCATAAGTTATGCCAAGTAAACCGCAGTAGTTGTCTTTATCTTCCTAAACTTGTGCTTACACCATTTGAAAAGCTTTAAAGACTCTAAAAAGTGGATCAATGAGATCAGGGCGCTGAAAACCCCGGTACACCGCTTTTCAGATTCTTGGAAATTTTTTTTCGACACACGATTGACTCACTATGAAGCTATAAGCTGGAACTTCTTACCATAATCCTACAGTAATAAAGAGTGGCTGGTAATTCGCTCCACACTGTAAATCTAAGTTGACCCTCGCTCTACACAATAGTATCTGGAGATAGGCAAAGGACTTCATGGGGAGAGAGATATTAACGATCAAACAGTGTATACATACTTTTGGGACATAGTTAAATTTGACTTATTCCAGATACGAATGAGATGTACTGATAATTTGGTTTGTAACAGTTACGAACTAGATTTTGATTCATTTCACCCGAAAATGTGCAAGCGACTTGTTTAAACTAGTAAATAATTGATATGACTTTTGAAAATTTTCAAAAATTCAGTTAAGCCTTATAAATAATTTTCGGAGGCGTGGCTGCCGCTACGGCCCCTTTTTTTTTGTAATTTTAGGGTTGAAGACCAGCAAAAAATTCAGGAAGCATAGCAAAAAAATTTTCGCAGTGCCCTCCCCCTCCCCCCCCCCCTCCCCGCCCTTCCGAACGTAAATCCTGGGTACGGTAGATACTTATATTTCAAGATCGCATCATGCTGCTACATTGCTTTTTCAGGCATCTACAAACTCAAAGAGTCAGGACAGTGCTTGGAACTATCCATGTCAAAGAAGATACTGCTCCGTGAAAATAGTTATAAGAAGCTTAATTATGCAGCAATGCTCCAATCCATAAAGAATTTTGCATATGGTCTTCAAGATTTTCGCATGGGTTCTCGACCTTGATTATCTCCTTGCAACCATAAATAGATTTCCACACGAGTAGGCTAAATTGATTTACTAGAATGTCTTCCGACGAGGAGGAACACACGATGGGCGGTAACAGAAAAAAAGAGGAAGGAAGAAAGTTCGCAGATTTGGCGAAGAAAAAAATAAACCAGTGGGTGGAAGAAGGCAGGATTGAGCCGCTACCGGTCACGTTGACCGACGGTAACCAATTAATAACATCAACCCAGTTTAGCCCCCATGTTAATTATGTTAATCTTCCAGAAATCCTGCTCCCGCGGCCGCCGTCGGCAGGGATACATTACTGTATCATTTGCCGAAAACACGGCAGTTTTCGCCTAGGAGCACACATTCGCTCAAAACACCCTGAATATCCCATTGATTCTGACGACTTCAGGGTAAGCTTGAAAAGGCTTTCAACCACCTTTAGAGTTGATTGTGTTTAGGTAATTGAGCAGGTCAGCCGTGGCATCACGGAGAACATGAAAAGAGCCTCGGTCGATCTTCGCCTCGTCCCCGCTCCCATGAATATCAGGGAGTACAACATCATGAAGGCGTTGATCGACCAGCTCACAGCTGGTGGTATACCAATTTACGGGGTAAGTAGCAGCATTTGAAGATAATGAAAGAAAACGAGGTGTATTTAGCAAATCCATCAGCCCTCGTGGGAGGCAATGCCGTACCAAGAGAGTACGGAGGTCTCCCACGCGCCACGGCTTGACCCTACAGTTCGACAACATCAAGGACTGCCAGAAGATCCAAGCGCTGCAGTCAAGTCCCGAACTGTAATTAATCATTGATATCATATCCACGTGCTATTCGCAACGTCTTAATATCAGGTAGTGTCGCTTCCATATGGAGCTCCACCCATACCGCGCCACGAGCTCTACATGACTCCGATAGACACGCTTTACCTCGGTAAGCTTATTGAACAAGAAATAGAAGTGACAAGCCCTTCCGGGTTTCCCTACTGATTTTCACGTCGAGAGGGACTTCGTAAATTTTCGCGAAGACGTGGGAGACTTCGTTTTCTAAAAACCTCCAAACCAACGCGTGCCGGGCCCTGTCCCCGCACCCCCGAGCCCACTCGAAAAACACTGGGTTGTCTTTTAAAGGTGACTGAGTTTATGGAAGTAACATAATTGACCTACGATATGTGAAAGTTCGAGCTATAGCTAAAATATTTTGAGCGGAAAACCTAAAGTGCGTTTAATTTTAGATTTTTGCAATCCGATTGGGTAAGAAAGATTCGCGGCACGGAAAAGCGCGGCTAAAGCAAGCTCACGTTCAAAATTTTCTCGATGCAAAAAATGTGGAAGCTCCCCAAATAACTTTTAAGGGAGTATGAATAATGCCCATCTGTAGATTGTTACCCCATTCTCCGGAAAAGTAAAACGGCCATAGAGTAATATCTGTACATCCAGGCGGCGCGAGTATCCATCCCCAATTCACCGCGCCGCCGAGGGTAGATTTGATGTTCGCTCACGAACACGATACAAGCGTGCCTGGAAGCTTCGAGCAGCGGTATCCAATACAAGAAGGACGCAGTTGTGGTACGAATGTTGTTACAAACCTGACAATGTACAAAAAACTATTTTTAGACTGGATGCTGGAGGCGGATAGAAAACTGAAGCTGTGGAGGCGATTGCCTCTTGAACTCCATCCCTTGTTGAAGCAATTTTGCAGTCATATAGAAACGAGAGTAGTAAGTTAAACATGAACCGAGCTGACTTTTAACGCCATCGTAGTGATTTTAGCTACTGCCTGATTTCGGCTCCGAAAAAGGCGAAATTGTAGTACTGAAAGGACGAGCCCTCTACGAGTCCTATATAAGCAGATTCATGATTGTTGCTATGAGGGCTCGGCAAAGGTCAGTGAACATACGAAAACTTTTGCTTAATTGCCTTGCTTAATTGTCTTCCAGCACACAGATACAGAGATGCACACATGTACAGATACTGTCCACTTCCAATCACGTGCTAGCCTCCCCTATGCTAGGCGCATAGAGACTGCTTTCATCTCCCTGCTCCAAAAAATCACAAGGCTAACACAGTCACATAGCACGCATGTGGGAGCGAACGACACATGATCATGCGCACGAGTATAGCTGCTACCCATAATGCGATCACACATACCGTTTAAAGACCTACTACTCTGTCCCTTATGGCAAAACACTAAACTATTATGGCAAACTGCTACTAAACTACATCTACGCGCTACGATGCACATGATACACACTATATGCCACATTCACACAACGCAGTACACACACCACGTCACACATTACTCATTAAGCACCGCGCTACGCTATATAGTGTACACCAGAAACCATTACATGCCACCTGCTACCCACAATGCACCGAATACTATGCACAAACAACATACTACACTACACACAATTAACTGCACACCACGTACTACATATCACATACTACAACTGTACATTGCATATTACAGCACACTACTTGTACATACACTATCACTACATACTACTAGCATCCACCACACATGCCACACACTGTCACTACGCACAACAATGATTACGATACATTACCCTGTACAAATCACCACTCACATTACATTACCTAGCATCCACTACACACAAAACACAGACTTTGAGCTTCTGTGATAAAGTATTTGACAAAAGTGTTGAAAGTAAATAGGAACACAAAAATTCAACGTATTTGCCTGTTTTTTTTTCACGCTATCCGGTTCCGGGGTTTAGAACTATACCGGTAGTGCATATGCTACATATTGCATACTACACATTACACACTGTACATCACACGATACAACACATTACCTGTACCTACCATACTACAAATCATGGAGCATTCACTACACACTATGCACTACACAACAGTGCATAACGCACTGCACACCACATGTCAAACAGTACACCACAACTGATGAATTACTACCACTACATCGAATATTACGCCACACTACTCTGTATAAACTACCACTCTACATACTACGTGACATCTACTACACACTATATCCTGCACACCACTACCTACTACACAATATACATCGCGCACTACAGATACACACATCATACTACACTTGACAGACTACACACTGCACACCATGACTATCAACTGCACAGTACTACACAAAATACACTACTTGCTACAAACTACACAGTAAAAACTGCACATCACACACAACATACTACACACTAGACATCGTACACCGTACACTCCTACACGCTGCACGACACACTGCATATCATACACTACAGACAACAGCGTGCTACACACTATACATCGCACACAAACGTACTTCACTATGCACTACACACTACACATTACGAATGACTCACACCGCACTACACAATACACACATTATAAGCACCACTCTGACAGACTACACACTACACACCGCCGGGCACACTGCACCCAGGGCCCTCTAGGCTTCGAAAACGAAGTCCCCCTTGAATTCCGCGAAATTTTACGAAGTCCTCTTTGACTCTCAACCCTAAACTCAAAAATCGCTCAAAAAGCGAAAGTCGACCAAAAAACGTCAATTTTTGGCCACAAAAAAAGATATCTCCTTTGCTTTTCCGAATCAAAAACGAGATCCAGCCTGCTTCCATATCTGCGCCGGGCTCTAACTGCACCATAGGCAAACCACAGTGACACCAAATACACACCCAGACACTACAGACAACATGGGCATATAAAGGCGTATACATCATGAATTTCAAAATAATCACAAACACGCCCTAGATCCCATAGACACTCAAAATACACAATGAACCGCAGGCACAACAATGACAAAGATGCCCAATGACAGCCACCACCATACCACCAATACCTAGTAGATTCATACATAGACGGACAGTACATACAAAACAGGCACATCGCAAAACAGTAACGCTAACGCCACAAACGACAACAAGGATACGCTCATACGAATGCACTAAAGACTTACCAAACCTCATTAAGTATAGATCCACCATAGGCACTTCAAATACACCAAATACACGCATTATATACACCATAATCCCACCATATACGCACAATCAAGGCGAACTACAGACAGCCAATAACACAACAGGCACATAGCAGGATCACAACACACACTACCCATATACGCAGACCAGCTAGCCACGTTATTCAGATGCTAAGTAAGAGAGCTAAGATGAGAAGCAGTGTTTAGCCTAAAATGCGCTGACATACATCGCAACTTTTAGACTCGGACAAACCGTGTCGATGGACGACGGCATATACTCGTCAGCTGTGGTGATGGAGTTCTTCCAAGAATTGCAGAAGTGTCGAGTGCCCGTTAAGACCCGACTAGGTTTCGCTCAGGCTATTGCGAGCTTCTACGATTTCCTAAACGTTTACATCGACGCTGGTAAGAGGCAACAATTGAGGTAGCTTCCGATTTTGTTCATGTCCTTCTGCAGCTGCTAGCACATTCCGTCTGCCGGCAGTAGCTCAAGCCCGCAGCCGCATCTCATACGTAATAGAAGGCCTGCGCAATGAGCTGAGATCTCTCTCTTCCTATCGAGCGGTCAGACAAGCGCCAGCTAAGGTTCTTTCAGTGTTGCTTTATGCCAGAATGATGTCGTTAACAAATTTAGGAGCATGAGCCCTACGTAGTCGCCCGCGCCATTGCCAAGCATAGAGACATCTTGGCGACGCTTCGATGCATTTACAACAAATTCGGAAGAACTGAATTCATTAGCAGAGTCCAGTACAACTACTTCTTAGGGTGAAACAGCTGTGATCAAAGACCCTAAAGTGATATATTTCTTTTAGGGCGTTGATGTTCTACATTATTCAATGCAACACAGCCCGCAACGAAGTAGTTTACAAGATGAGATTCGGGAGCATCGTTGACTTTAGCGAAATGGGACATGCTCAAACTGGCTTGCGACGCATCGAATTAGACGTGGACGGCGATAAAAAAGAACTCTTTGTAGGTTTCTAACCAGCTAGTCAACAAAGGATAAATCGATGAGGACCTAAATATTCAGGTAGGTGCTTATCCACACCCCAAGAGCCTCAACCGAGTTCGTGAGGAAAGCACGTTCAGAGGAGGGTTCTTTGTGTTAGATAGAGAGTCGCTCTTTCTGACGGACGTATGCCACAGCTTTCGCCTCTGGTGAGGAATTTTGCTTATATTAAACCAAATCTTCCCCCCCCCCCTCCTCCTCCAAATTATGCAAATCTCAGCATGTTATCTCGTCTCAGTATGACTTCATTTAGTAACAGAATGGCAAGATTTTTGATGTCCGCTCGCTCTACTCTGCTAGTTTTTATCTGTATTCCAGCAGTGGCCCAACCTATGATAAATGGCAAAAAGCTAAAACAAGAAAAAAACAGAAACCATCCCCTGCTCAACCTCTACTTCACTCACTTCTCAACTTCCCTCCCCCTTCGCCTCACCCTCATTCCCCCTCTCCCATGTATGAAACGAAGAATAAATAGCATAAAGGAAAGAAAGACAAAGCAAACTTGATGGACACCGAGCGCCCAGTGAGAACGAAAGATTGCGCGTCGGTTTGCCGGCAGGGTCAGACCGCGTCAGCACCTACCAATACCTGTCGGAAACAGCCGGTACGAACCTGAACCCGCCGGAATATTACTCCTAGTGCACGATAATTTTTATTGTATGCAGAAACATTTCTGAATGAAAAGTCAATTAACTCAAAACTTTGAAGGCCGGTTGCTACCCCTTCGCATTGAAAAATAATACAATTTTAAAAGATATAAAATGGAAACCAGCTCGAAGAGTCTAAATATGTGGTCCTCACCTGTCCGGTGGGGGGGGGGGGAAGGAAGAATCCAGGCCTGTCACTTACCACATTTTTTGTTTTTTTTCGCTGCCATAATAACTAGTACAGTGAGGTACTTGTTGTTTGCACCTTGTTTCAAACGAAGCCCAGCTTCACGGTAGAGAGACTACTGGACCATCCTTAATGATAGGACTTTGTCCGGCCACTAAAGTCGCAAGTAATTATACCTAGCTCAACCCTCAAAACAGAGCAGCTGAGCTACATGCTTTTTCTGCAACTTGCGAAAATTCAGCTTGCGCCTGATGGAATAAAAAAAAAGATAAGCATCAACGATCGCACTTGAACTGAGCAACAAAGGTCGGGTTTCTTCATAAAAAAAGTTTTTGACTGCTTGACTTTCAATGTTGCAAGTCAATTCAACCATTCCACCCTCCCCTCTCCCTCTCAATATAGCTCCCTTCCCTGTCAAAGCTTGATAAAATGACGTTCTTATTGAATGTAAATCACTGAGGGCCGCATGCACTAACATCCCCGCGGGGAGGGGATCGCAGCTTAAAAGAAAGCTTTATATTTCGAAATTCCAGATACCTGGATTTCACTTTATATACCTATCCGTAAGTATTCCTATTACCCTTCACTATACATGTCGAAGAGGAGCGAGAAGCTGTACGAACCGCATTTCCAGCTTTTGTATGATCGCTAATGATCCCCGGCGCTTTTCTTTAAAGTCTTTCTTTCTCCAAGGTTAACGAAAAACCTCCAAAATTGTGCAGGTTATCTAACCCGACAGTGCTGAGCATGTTGCTGATAAGAACAAATGATGTTTTGAAGTTGAAATTTTCGATGATCCACAGGCCGAAATTTGAGGTTTACCGAAAAATTCGACTTTTCAAACACTCATTTGTTCTCATCAACAACATGCTCAGCACTGTTGTGTTAGATGTTCAGTACAACTTTGGAAGATTTACGTTAGCTTCGGAGAAAGAAAAATGACTTTAAAGAAAAGCCCCGGGGACCATCAGGGATCATACAAAAGCTGGAAAATGCGGTTCTTACAGCTTCTCGCTTCTGTTCAACATGTTCATAGTGAAGGGTAGTAGGAATACTTACGGATAGGTACACAACGTGAAATCCAGGTATCTGGAATTTCGAAATATAAAGCTTTCTTTTAAGCTGCGATCCCCTCCCCAGCGGGGAGGTTAGTGCATGCGGCCCTAAATCACTGGAGTGGAGCAAAGATGTCAATCTACGATGTCAATCTTCGTTTATTGATGCCTCTTATCAAGACTTACAATGCACGTTCCCAGCACGTGTTTTATAATTTTGTTGTTTATCATCTGCGTACTAATATTTTTCTTCTACATGAGTAAGAGGACCATTTAGTGATGTGGCTAGAAGAATGGCACAAAGTTGTGATAATCAGAACAACGCTTATTCATGTGATTGACCCAAGTTCTAATAGCTCCACTACACAAACTAATCGGAACAAATTACAGAATATAATTTTCTGCTGTTCACCAACAGATTGTTTATGCGCGGTATACTCGCTCAAGCTTCGTGCATAAGCTGTACTTACTGAGTCCTTACCTTTCACTATGAGAGTGCCGGCTGCAATCACAAGACAAATAGCGAACTTCGCTCAAAAGATGATGCTCACAAAGGCCACTTTTGAAGGATCGACAATATCGACAACGTCATGAAGCTTGTCGGCCTGTGATAGAAGCTCCGCTTCCATTGAATTTTCATTACTCTGGCTGGTGTTCTTATCAGCACATGGAAAGTTATCAACTGTATGCGCGACAGTTTCCCGACAACATGAGAACACCGCTCCGACTGCGATGTACCGCCGGCTCCCAGACTGCCCGAGGGCAGAGCCAGGCGAGCGTGTCAGCGGTGCGGTTCCACTGTTGAAGCATAAGTGATAAACTGATTATCGGTTGACCGTCGCGGACGCTCTAGCGTCAATCCTAAGCCAGTAGTAATTCAGTAGGAACGGTAAATATGTGGTGCGGGATCAAAAGGCTAGGCGGGACTGCGGGGAGGATGTGGCTAGGCTGGGTTCATACTGATCTGTAAATTCCGGAATAGCGCTCGCACTATGCGTTATGCTGGAGCTGTCCCGGAACTTACGGATCAGTATGAACCAGCCATATGCGAAGAATGCAAGGTTACTTCAAAGGATAAAAGGATTCGGCGTCTTTAAAGGCAGCGTCCAGGCAGATCTGGACCTATGGGGCTTTCACGTTGAAAGTACTTTTGGCGCCCTAACTAAGGCACTGCCCAAGCGGCAGCTCAGGTAGTGCTCTAATGGCTGAGATATCCCCCTCGAAACTGGCCCCCGCGAACGTATTCGCATGGATTCATTGCAATTTCGCGCCAGGATCCACGCTTTGCGCCATGAATCCATGCGAAACACGGTCGCGGGGTCCAGTTTCGAGGGGAATATCTCAGCCATTACAGCACTACCTGAGCTGCCGCTTGGGCAATGCCTTGGTTAGGGCCCCAAAAATACTTTCCACGTGAAAGCCCCATAGGTCCAGATCTGCCTGGACGCTGCCTTTAATACCCTCTGCGGGCATGCGCCGAACGCACACTACTTCATATTCGAAGACGCAATTGTATTGTGCGAGCTATTACAGTGACTTGCGGGGGCCAGCCGTTTACAAGTCAGTGCTTTTATCCCCAGATTACTCTGGTACCAATTTGCCGGCCCAGGAGGGTAGAGGGCTTGGTTGGTCCAGGTGCGAGGATCGAGCCTGTGTCCGATCTGGTCATAGCGGCGCCTCATACCACTACGCCACTCGTCCCCCAAGGTTACTTTCAGTCCGGTAAATCCCATGCCGCTTACGCTGCCAATGCTCACCAGAGCAAAAACAAGCTTGCCGCTACTGCAGACCATTTCTTTTCGAGACGCAGTGGCAACCCTTCATCATTCCGATTAAGCCGCCTAAGCCTCCTATACCCGAATCCTGACATAACGTCCCTCTTGTTGATGATTTGTAGGAACATCAAGAGTTCATCTTCAAAAGGTTTCAGAACGTAGGCATTATGGACATAAGATGGGGCAAGGGTTAAAATAGAATGATTTTTTTCAATTCTATATGTCATGACCACTGAAAACATCGGAATGCTTGAAGCCAGTGGCTCGGCGAATCTCAACCTAGTCAAATTTGCGCTTACCTGGGGTTATTCATTACGCTGATCCCGAAATCCACTTTGAAAGCTTGAAAACGGCGAAAACGAGCGTTTTTAATGCCCCTCCCTTTGGAACTGGACGAGTGCAGCAAGGCTGATGACGCTAAATCGTTGCAAGGCCCAATGGTTATAGCATTGCGGCGGGCAGCCTCCAATAGTGAGAAGGAAATTGTAAACCCGTCCGGATGCGTGTAAGATTGGCCTGCGCGTGTAAGTTTGAGAGCAATTTTCTCGGCAGGAAAAAAATGCTGTGCAACCGGGACTGCACTGTTTTCATACTTGGGCGATAAGGAACCTACCGCGTTCTGAGTTGTTGGATTTTGCCGACCCACTGCCTTTAAAGGCAATGTCCGGGCAAAAAACTCGATTTTGAGACTTTGTGCTTACCCGATCCTATTCGCTATGCTGAATCCAAAAATTCGCATTCGAGAGCGCGAAAACGACGAAAAAGGGCTCTAACACTGGGAAATCAGCAAGTGGGCAGGGTTTTCCCACTGTGAATTCACGCGTTCAGCTTCCAGAGCAATTTTCTCGAATCCGTTACCCGCTTTGACATCACTACCGATTAAGTGCAAATGAATGACTTGAAACTGGAATCAAAAAGATCATCCCCAAAGCTGGGAGCGTGAATTCACCGTGGGGAAGACCCCGCCCACTTGCTGAGTTTCCTCCGGTATTAGTGCCCTTTTTCGTCGTTTTCGCGCTCTCCAATGTGGATTTTCGAATTCAGCGTAGCGAATAGGCCCGGGTAAGGGTTGTTTCAGACTGCCGCACTGACTGCAGCAGGCTGCAGCAGACTGCAGCTGACTGCACTGACTGCAGCAGACTGCAGCAGACTGCAGCAGACTGCAGCTGACCGCACTGACCGCACCGGTCGCAGCCTCTTTTCTTAAAAGAAAACAACCGCGATTATCAAAACAGCGTGATTTACGCATAAGAAGATCATAAGTTCCATCAGAATTCTTCTCAATCAAATATTGGCGATAGTTCTTTGTTA